TTAAATGCAACATAATACAAGATTTTTAAAGAAAACTATCCAAAAGACCATACAAAAGAATATTTCAGGCTACTTTACTTTTTCCTTTTATTAATTTACAGATAGCAGTCCAGCCTTATACTTTTTATACTTTTAATTATACTTATAATTTTACTTATAAGACTGAGGGTTTTTTTTTAAAAAAAAATCCTATCAGTGCAGTTATTTATGTTTGACAAATCACTGACTGGCTGCAATGGGGGACAGAGGTATCTCAATGTTTTATAATTTTGTAAACTTAGCAACAAATATGGTATATATGTAGTGAATTTCTATAGATTGGATTCACTAACAAGAAACTCTTGAACCAAACACAAATAAAACAGCTACAATCTTGCTGAGTTAACATTGTTATGTGCAATATGAGAAAAGGATAGACAGCAATCCTGTAATTCTTCATTCCAGTGCATACAAGAATATGGAAGAGTCCCATAGAAACTACTATATTTCTATTGGATTACTGCAGCTGTGCATGCAACTATGCAGCCGGATTCTAATTATATATATTGTGACTGTGCAAATTCTTTGAAGGAAAAGCTTACAACATGCAGGGACTGCATACAAAACATGTATCTCCAAATTATTAAAATGGCCATGTTTTATTTTCAAAGAATATTACAGAAGAGTTCAAAAAGTCATCTCACATGAGAAAAGTTAAACCTGTTCCCATTACAAGGGAACAAGTGGCTTAAAATGGTATAAAACCCAATCTTCATGTTAAGAAAGTTTAAGATGAGAGACATCTAATAAACTTTGTTAGAGGAAAGAAGAAATAGTTCCAGAAAGAAGCAAGACTTAAACTAAAATAAGGACAAGAATCTTGAAGTATATGATCTCTCATAAAGAATCCTAAAACAAAGACAATTAAATTATAATTTAAATGCATTAAGGAAGATAGTAAAAAGGATAAGAAGGTTTAATAAAAAGTAGAAAGAAGAATTACTGAAATAAATTTGATAAACATGCTGAATAACTACAAGAAATTGGCCCACATGTAGGTGTTCTGAACAAATAAATGAAAAATCAGATATATTTAAAGAAAATGTACAGTTGGAAAAGCAGAAAAAAAGTTTGTTTGTTATTAGTAGGTGAAAGAAAAGATCTTATTAAATTGCATAATTATTCAAACCAGGCATATTGGGATCAGCAAGCAAATACAGAAAAAAAAATCCATGCCTTTAATATAGTATTCCAGGGCTGCCAAATCCATGTTCAATAAGGATAAGTGAGTATAGCGGGAACAAGACCCCTACAATGTTAGTGGTACCTCCTTTCATTAAAATCAGGGTTAATTTCCCTCTAACTGTAGGGTCAGTAGGGCACTTGATCCCATCCTTTAATTCCTCAGAAACTGAAAGTATGTCACTATCAGAGTTTATATATCACAGAAATATCTGAACAGAAAATATAAAAAAATATAGCTTTAGGAAACTAGTAAAATTGAACAAATTTCCTTACCAACTCTATTACTTTTATAAAAGTACTTATGGCCTTGATAGACCAAAGCAGTCTTTAGGCTCTTTGATCCTCTATTACTCGAATGCAATATTATATATGTAGCCAACATTAAATCACAACCACTTATCCTGAAGAAATTCACTTACAGCTAAAATATATAAATCATCAGGCTGGTCAAACATGAATGCGTCAAGTGTTTAGTGACCAAACATTCATTCACCTGTTCTTTGGATGTCCTGAATTTCCTCAGGAGGAAAGCTGAGCTTTCTGAGGTGCTATAATCACTGCCTATACAAAAAGTACCAAAACCCTCCCAAAAGCACATGACCAACAGATGGAATAAAAGACAAACCAGGAAAGAAAGGAGTCAGTGGCTATCAAATTTGGGAGGAAAACCATGCAATTCAGTTAAACTGGGTATCCTTTTTAGATGGATAATCCATACTGTTGAAAACAAAATACAGAGACAAATTCATGAAATCAATACAAGTCAAGCTTGGCTCAAAGGAGACCTTATGTGTCTACCTGTAGGTGCTTTTTTAATGTTTTAGAGTGCTTAGGAATTCATGAAACCGGAAAGCAAATACTTTAAGTTACAGGTAGCATTTAAAGCACAAATTAATACAGGATAGTCATATATCAGAGCTCATAGCCTGTAATTATCCCTAAATAGAGAAGGTATTACATTAACATTCAGAAACAGACTATTCCTTGTCACAATAATATAGAGCTAATATCTTACATCTCTCAGAAAATGATACATATTAACATATTGCTAAGATGTTTTGAGCGTGGATAGAGAGACAATACTATACAGTACAACGGCTAGCTCTTTATGGTAGGGAGAGTACAGGTAGGAAAAACAAACAAACAAGCTATTTGTTGCAAATTAAAGCAAAAGTTGAACATTCCCAATTTTTTAAAAGCTTGAACTATTGTTTCAGGCAAAGCTGCTATATTTAATAAAGTTATGACCAACTTAAAGTGAATAAATTACATCTCATTACTGGGTCTGTTAGGATGGAATATAAAATGGTACAGGTGACTCAAAGAGGTGCTGTAAGGTCTCTTCCAGTTTTCCACTGCTGTTTCCTAGTCTTCATTTAAGTAAGGAAAACAAACACTTCTCTTGCTCAGAATGCAGGGTTAATAATATCTGCACTTAGGTAAAGCACATGGCCAAATGAGCAGGGACATCAATTACACCATCAAAAGTGCTAAGAAGGTAACAAAAGGACTACTTTTTGCAAAATAAAAGGAGCTTATTTCTTATTAATAAAACAGTAGTTTGGGACAATATGTTGCTTGCATTGAATAGGGTCTAACTATAGAACTATAGAAAATCTGAGAACATACATCTATTGTAATTTAAACAGGTATATTATTTACCAACTGCAAATGTATTATATTTATTTATGAATTTTTAATGTGGCAATAAATAATGTTATAATTTTAAAACAACACTAAATGTTCTGCATAATTGCTTGACAATATATTTTTACATTTCTCTATTTTCATCAGAAATTAATCTCTTTTAGATATTTCAAGTAACATTTAATTCATTTAATTTTGTGTTTAAATTAATAAAATATTTAAGCTCAAGCGACCTATATTTTAGTTTATAAAAGTTGTTACAATATTCCTTTTCATAAACAAACCTATTATCTTTTAAAATATAATTTTAGCAGAACCTCAGAAAAGTATAATTCACAGTGCAATCCTGAATACAGACATGTTTTTAAAGTTCCATTATTGTAACTGCCATCAAGTTAAGGAGCAACTTTGAGGTAAATGAATATAAAGCTGCAGTATTCCACATATGAATCTGAGAGTAAACCCCTCTGAAATAATGATACACACCTCTGAGCAGATTAGGCATCGTACGTAGTTTTAAGGACCTATAATTGCACATCTATATTTGCAATTCTAAGTAAACTTTACTTCACTAAACATTATGGAACTTATTTCAATATAAAGTGCATAGGACCATGGTATTAGTATTCTGTAATAAGAAAAATAATTTTGGAAGTTTAGGAGATCTGTTTTAAAGTGCATATAATTTAGATCTTAAAATTCAAGCATTCATGATAATGTTTATTTCATTTCTCCACACCATTCACTTCTGAAAAAGTGGCGAAAAATTAGTGGACTTATGATAAAGCAAAGAAATACTGGAGTAGGGGAGGATCACATCTTAATACAGAAAATTCTTAAAGTGAATGTAAAGATAAAATCAGAGACTTTTCTTTTGGGCATAATGAATAAAGAATTTGAAAAAAATAAAACTTTGATGTTATATATGCTGATAGCAGCAAGAATATTCAATGCACAAAAATGGAAGGGTACTTTAATTTACAGTGGACAAATGGCTGCAAAAGTAGATGGAATTAGCAGAGATAGCTAAATTGATTTGCTTTGATTAAAGAAAAGAATACAATTAATTTTGTTTCTATTTGGAAACCGCTTTTGGACTTTGTGATTGAGGTGGAAAAAAAGTGAAACTTTGATTTTGGGTTTTGCTGATTAGCTGTTGTTATGAAAATTGCTAGTATATATTATTATACTGTATAGTAAAAAGCTGAGGTTGTATATTATTACCTTATTCTATTGTGCCAAAAAGAGTAGGAAATCGATGCTTTTTCTTTTCCTTTTCTCCTACACTTTTTCCTCTTCCCCTTTTCCTCCCCTATTTTCCCATTTTTCATTTGTCTTTGTATTTCTGTATTTTACATTTTGATAAACTAATAAAAATTGAGAAAAGGTGAAGAAAAAATAATATAAAAATATTATATCTTTTTAATTAAATCTTAACACAAACTATTTGCAGAATTTTTAAAGTAAGCAATTAAAGAACAAGTTCAAAATGTGTTCAAAAACATGTCTTCAAGTGCTACTAAAATGCAGATTATGTAGATTCTAAGAGTTATAAAAAGTATTTTCATATATCTGAACATGTTAGCATGCTCAATTGCAACAAAATTCTACCTCAAGTTTTATGACTCCTTATTTTGAATATAACTGTGAGAATGTCAACAGTGCACTCTTTTAGTGCTCCTTATTTTGTTACATTTAACTGATATGAAATGTAATTTTACTTATTGTATTTAATTAAAAATATAATTGGACACCTAAATTCAAAAGCACAGACAAAAGTTCTTTAAGCATGCAGCAGAGGTTTAACCCTGCTGAGTGGGGCATTTTTAGGAAAAGATTGAAAATAGCTTTTCAGAGGATAAACAGCAGCACATACCAGTTCCTTCTTGCCACAAGATCACTATTAAGGCATCCAAGGAGAACAGAAAGTGATTATTCATAATGCCAGATCAGAGTTATTAAAAAGAAAAAGAAAACACCAAGATGCTGGCCTGGGTAAAGGCCAAAGGGAGAAAAAGCAGACAAAGTATGTTCTGTGAACAAGAACAAAAGGTGAGAGAACCACCAGGGCAGAACTACAGTATTAAAGATACTATGATCCACAGAGTCAGCACTCTGTTGATTTTTACCTGAGCTGAAAAGGTGCCTGCTGGAGATGGTGGAGATGGCGTTTCCTGCTGATGGCTGTCTTCTTCCTCTGGTGAATCATCCAGGAGAACTTTACTGTTCTTGTTGAGCTTCCACATTATGAGTGGAGGCGGGAGGGAGAGGAAGAGGAAGGGGGAGGAGGTAAAAACTGGCCTGGTCCTTATTTATGCCTGAGAAAGTTTGAAAAAGAACCTGGTGAAATGGCAATGACTTTGCTATTCAGCCACCAGCCTCCAGATATTAAGCTTTCTGGAGAAACAGCTAAAGGAAGCTAAACGGGTTGATCCTAAGATGTGCGGGCAGACTTCCAGAAAAGCCACTGTCGTGGGGGGAGAAAGAAAAAAAAAAGCACGAGAAAAAAGTGAAACGCGCAACCGACTGCGCGCACATACACAGAGAGACCTAGCGCCTTCTCTGCTGGGTTTGTAGTACAGAGCAGGTTTCTTCCCTCACCCTCCGAGCATAATCCCATTGCTCTCCCGAAGGTCAAATATATGGGTCCCGCTGACTCAGTCACGTAAAAGGGGTGGATGCAATCTGTACGTGCTCAGAGGCATCTTTGCAGAGAAAGGGGCGGGCGGGAGACGCCACAAAGTATGCGAAGCTGTAAAAAGGGCAGTCGCCCGACCTTAAGGCTCAGAGCTGGAGGGAGGCAAGGAACCCATCCCCTTCCCGCCCCCTCCCTAATTGTGTCTGCTAAAGCGGAGGCGGGGATAAGCCGTCACTCTACCACCACCACCACCACCACCCCTCCAGAGACGCTCCTCACGGGAAGGGGGGAGTTGCTACTGCTGCCGCCGCGGCCTGGTAGGGGTGTCAGACTGCCTCCCTGTCCACCCACCCCGACCCTTCCCGCCCCCTCACCTGTGACCGTTCCGCGTCGTCGTCAGAGCCGCCACCGCAGCGTAGAGCCTGCGAGCGGCCGCTGCCATGTTTGCGGCTGACTGGGCGATGGGAGGGAGCCGGAGCAAGGAAGAGCGCGAGCGGCAGGGGGGAGGGAGAACGCGCCCAAGAGAACAGGGGCTTTGCTACGTCGCCACAGCAACCTGGCAGCGCGCGCGCGCTCGCTCGGCACCGGCCTTAAAAGGGAGGGGGAGAGAAAGAGTGGGGGGAACGGGGCTGAGATTTCCCCAAGGACCCGCTGTGTGCTCGCCTCGCGCTCTCCGCATTGGGGGAGGGAATTCCTCGAAAACTCGTGCCATAACTTAAAAGCCTGCGGGGCAAAAGTGGATCCGTCATCCTGTTCCTCGGCCAGTCTGCTCTCCAGCCCACCGACCAATTCATACGACACCTTTCCCCCTTTCCTTCGCTTGCAGGAATGAAATTTAACAGTGCCGTAGCTTCTAAGAGTCGCGCGTACAGAGAAAAACCGCCTTCCTATCTCCGTCCCGCAAAATTGCACTTCCTTGGGCGTACTTCGGGATTTTAAACACGGACCACGAAGGCCCACCTCAGTATTTCGGGGTGCTTGTTCTTTGATAGCAGACGTGAGCCGCCTTCCTATAGTTTTTAAGGCGACACAAAATTGGGGGGAGGAAGGTTGTGCTACAGGAGGCTGATGGAGGAGACTACTGTCCAATAAAGCTCATGCCATAAGATTGTGAAATGCCACAAGGCTTCTGTCTTGCTTTCCCGTGGACTGAGGGCTAATTTGGTCAGTAGTTTAAGACACTTAAGTTAGAAACTGGGGAACTGAGGTCCAGTCCTAATTCGGGCAGCTTTGATCTAGTCACTCTCTCAGCCCTAGGAAGGAAGAAGGTCATGGAAAACCGATTCCGAAAATCCTGCCAAGAAAACTGGACTGGACTGGTCAGTTGCCAGGAGTCAAAACTGACTTAAACATACATTTACTGTAATATAATTTAAAGAAGGTGACATACACAGAAATTAAATAAGTGCATGCTAGATGTAAGAAAAACTAAACAAATGGAATTAATTCTTCCAGTCATTGATAGGCATGAATCATGGTTAGATCAAACAATGGTCACATTATGGCCATATTCTTTAAAGTTATATTTCCATTAAAATGTTTTAACAATTTTAAAGATACAGACAGCATGGCATGGCAGAGGCCATTTCCTTAGCAGTAACGGATAGCATCTTATATTGCCCTCCCCACACCTTAGCTCACAGGTGTCAAACTTGCCGTGTCACATGACATGTCACGACGTATCGGAACTTTTTTCACATTGCTGGAGCTGGGGTAGGTGTGACCTCCACATGATGCAACCGGCCTGTATGCTGGCAGTTTGACATCCCTGCCTTAGCTGAAGTGTTCTTCACCTTTTTTTAGATAGCACAATAATATAAAAGCATGAAATTTGTTGATCTCTATCCGGCCTCCTACCTCTCTTTTGACTTGATACCACATGAAGCTGTGATTCTCATCTAGGAAAGCAGTTGGGCAATGATCCCACAAAAAAATAAAATGGTTGTTCAAGGAAGATATGGAAACTGCATATTAACTGAAATAATTCTTTGCATCGGTCACTGCTGCAAAAGGTATAGGACAGTCACTTGAACTTAATTACTTAGGGAGGGAATTGGAATGAGTAAAACACTAAGGAAACAATAAAAGATATTGTAGGACATCATTACAAGCTCAGGTATCTGTTATATAACAGTTCCCTGGGTCTTAGTGGCATTCACTTGAGAATTCTTAACTACAATGCGAAATGGCTGATTTAATGACCACAACTGAGCCCAAAATTTTTATTGCTAAGCAACACTGTTGTTAAGTAAGTTTTGCCCATTTTACGACCTTTCTTGACACAGTTGTTAAATTATCAGGGCTTTTTTTGTCACAGAACGCACCACAACAGAGTTCCGGCACCTTTTTTTGACGGATTTTCCAGAGTTGCGTTCTTTTCCTATTGTTGCCCTTCCTATCCTCGTTTGCTTTTGAAAATGTCCCATTGGCAGTACAGTGTGAGCGGGGTCCCCTCCGGCACTGTCCGCCTCCTCTCGGAGGAGCCATGAGGCACTGGACCACCACAGCCAGAGTATGGCTTAGTTGGCTGGGTCGGATCATGTGGTGTGGAAGCTGATGGTGGTGGGGGAGACACATAAACATGGAGTCCATCTTTCACAAGAGGGTGAGTGAGCCTTCTGCCTTCCCTTCCAGAAGGTGGGGTGTGAGGTTAAAAAGAGGCACAGCGAGAAGAAAGAAAGGCTGCTGGCGTGGAAGCTTGCCCGACAGCGAAACTTTGCTGTTTCAGTTCCTTAGGTAGTTCAAAGGCTGGAATATCTACGAAAATCTCTTTTTAGTCTTTTATACTTTATATTCAAACTGCAGAGGGGAAGAATAAGAATAAAGCCAATGTCTTGTGATTTGGAGGTATTATTAATAATAGTATATATTAATTATGTATTGGTCAGATGTAAAAGTAGACCTACAGTATGAGGTTTAATCAGATCTATTTATTAAATTGGGTTTAACTTAAAGGTAAATTAAAAGTAATCTGTTCACTGACAAAAGTTTCAACTTTAATTTGTTTCAACTCAATATCTATATTAAACTCCAAATGTAAATTTTTCCACCTTGTTTGACAACTTCTTAAACATAATTCAATCTTTTATAAGCAATCAAATTTTGTTTTATTGGGCCAATTTCATTCCACATAGAAAGCTGACATTTCCACTCATTAAACTAAATGGGTATGCTAGTGGTAAATGTCCCAAAAGATTAATAAAATGCCTTCTTGTAATTTAAAGCCACACAGTGCATGGTAACATTAATAGTATTAACTTACCTTGAACAAAATCCTAGTCTTTTAGATACACTAAAAATTGAAGGGTTTTTTTTTCAACTATAAAGGTAAACCTTGTAGGGTAGGCAAGGCGGGTTGTATGACGTGTGAGTTCCGGCACCTTTTTTTTGTTTTTTTACAAAAAAAGCACAGAGTATAATAACACAGTGGTTAAGTGAATCAGGCTTCCCCACTGACTGCTTGTCAGATCACAAAAGTTGATCATATGACCCATATGACTGCAACCATCATAAATATGAGCCAGCTTTCAAAGCATCTGAATTTTGATCATGTGACTATGGGGATGCTGCAACAGTCATGTGAAAAACTGTCATAAGCTACTTTTTTCTGTGTCGTAACTTTAAACAGTCACTAAATGAGTGGCTGTAAGTTGAGGACTACCTGTAGTTCACAACATCCCCATCCCCAGGGCCTGCTGAAAAAGCCAGTTTGTTATGGCCTTTCTGAAATCCAGCAGGTAAATTCTCACTAGATCTCAGTGTAACATTATTCATAGAAAAGGGACAGCAATAGAAAAGGTTCACTCCAGGGCATGTTGGATGATTCTTAAGTGAAGGGACCTGAAATAAGTTTTTTTTCCTATAAAATCTTATCAGATTGACAGAGCTAACTGGGAGAAGGCGGTTCCCCAAATATCCAGATTCTCTACCATGAGTTCTAAAGGTGATAACCAGCACCTTAAATTGTTCTTGAAAGCCAACTGGCAACTGGTGTTGCTCCCAATATAGCACAACAGCAGTGTCACATGAAGCATTCATTTCTATTTCAACCACTGCATTCTACCCAGCTGTAGCTTCAAATATAGTTTTCAAATATAGCCCTATGTACAGTATAGACTGTAGAATACATTGCAATAGTCCAAACACAATATGACTAAGACATGAGTGATTGAGTCTGCTGTTTCATGAAAGGTCATGATTTGTCACAGAAAACTGAGTTGTGCAAATGGAGGCTTTGCTAAGTTTCAAGCAGGAGCTGAGACTCAAGAAGGACTCCCAAATTATGAACCAGATCAGTACGGAAACATGTAACCCCATCCCTGGAAATATTCTTGGAACTAGGTGACTTCATCCAAAGCCATGTTGCTGGGATTAAACCAAAGCATTTTCTTTTTTCTTTTTATTCAAGCATCCAGACACCAACCAGGAGAGCGCCAGTTCACTTTGGTATTAAGATGCAAAGCTATGCCAACACGCAACTCCTTTTAACAATTTCATGTAGATTTTGAAGTGAAGTGCTAAGCCCTGTGACACCTCAGACTCAATTGCTCCCTCTTTACCACTATCAGCTGAAACTGTTTTCAGGAAGAAGAAAGTCACTGAAATACAATGCTCCTGGCTCCCAACCCTTAGAGGTGGTCCAAGGGGTAATGTGGTTGATGACACTGAAAGATCATACAACACCTGGTCTTGCCAAAAATAATCTACAAGTGCAATCAGTGCAGTCCTTGTGCTGAAATAAGCCTAAAGCTTCACATTATCTGATCCCAGATAGTATCACAAGTCACTTCTGGCCCAGCTGGCATCCCAATGAATTTGAGGATTAGATTAATCCTCCAGATGCAGAGAATATTTCTCATAGAAGTTCTGTAATTGGTCTTCCAGCAAATCTGTCTCAAATGGGAACTAGGTCACTTTAAACAGGGACACTAAGAAGCAGTCTTTGTGTACAATGAAAGCTGAGAAATATTGTTTTACCAGCCTAGTTGCCCTAGTATATTATGTTCTCTCCTGGAATCTGTTAGGTTCATTCCTTGTTTTCCACCAACGGTGTTCTAAGGGCCTCTTTTACTGCTTCATTTCCCAGAAAACCTCTTTAAACCAAGAAGTCCCTTTGGATCAGCAAGAAGGGAGAAGCTGATAGGTGCAAACATATGCAAGGCTGCAGCTTTCTTCTTGTCCCAGGAAGCAACTAAAGCTTCAAGACTGTCCACTAATGTCTCATAAAGCTCCCCAAGCAATTTCTTTACGTGTCATAGGATATTTTTAAAAATAATTTTATTGATTTTTTTAAAGAAATAATAACAATAAGGACAATGTAAACTCTGAAAGAAGAAGGAAGAATAGAATGTGCAAAGAAAGAAAGAAAAGGAGGAAAGGAATACTTAAGTGATTTCCAATCTTCATCACAAGTGCAAACAAACTTGGTAATTCTTATCCCCCATAAGGTTACATAAAAGTATCTCTTCTTCCCTTAATCCATCCCTTATTAATACACAAACCAATAAATCATTAGCATTTCAGTCCTTCA